TCAAGAACCCCATTGCACCCAAATATCCGGATATTATTCTTGCTAAACTTGGTCCAGGACAGGTACGCTTTACGTACTTTTGTTTGTTTCAATAACTGCTCATAAAACATGTCTAGGTAACACGTCATGTGCCTTGGGATTAGATAAAATCTCTTTGTGACCGTAATGCGGTGCTTCTAGATTAAGAAGGTTTTATGTACTGTTCTCATTAGTCAGGATCTGTTGTCAGAAGTTAATCTAATTCTCAAGAAGTTTTCTAATGTGCTAAAGTTCCAACTTTTGCTGCTAGGAAATTGAATTGGAAGCACATGCTGTTAAAGGCATTGGAAAAACACATGCAAAGTGGTCCCCCGTGGCCACTGCTTGGTATAGGATGCTTCCAGAGGTAAGAACAGGCACAGGCAGTAAGCGTAGATTTCCTTCTTTTCTAAACCTTCTTCATTTTGACGCTGTATAGTTACATTTATTTATGCTTGTATGCATATATATGTACATGTATGTATTTAGGTTATATTATTGGAGGATGTCAAAGATGACCTCGCTGAAGAACTCAAAAGCAAATGCCCAGTTAATGTATATGACATAGAAGATATTGGAAAAGGTGAGGTTCATCTGTTCTCTATGATTTGTCATCTGTATGGCATAAAATATGGTTCTAATAAAGGGTTTCAATGATTCCTTTACCGAATGTGGATTATATGCATATAATAGTTTGCTCACTACCTATGTGATAGTGCTGATTGGTTCTGCTTTGATATGCTTTAGCATGTGAAGTTAGAACATTTCGTTTTAGATATATTTCCTAATGAATAATCTGGATGCCAAGCAGGTAAGAAAAGGGCAACCGTAGCAAGACCACGGTCTTGCACGCTTTGCAGGGAATGCATAAGAGGTGATGATTGGGAGAAACGAGTGGCACTACGCCGTGTTAAAAATCATTTCATATGTAAGTAAAATGGGGCCTACCCTGCATCTTTCGCGCGTGTTCTTATCAAATTATTTCTAGATTTCATTGATACCTATGATTGATGACCTAAGCTGAAGTAGCATGTCTTAAGATTAATATGTTCTCTCCCTGTTTCTAGTCACCATTGAATCTACTGGAGCATTACCTCCTGAAGTTCTATTTACTGAAGCTGTGAAGATTTTAGAAGATAAGTGTGAACGTGTGATAACGGAGCTATCATGATGTTTATTTATATGGTTAGCACGGATGAGAGAAGCAGTGAACTTTATAAGATCCCTTCTCTATTGGAGTCCAAGTAGATTGTAGAATTAACATCTGTTCTCTATGATGAATGATTTTGATTGGTTATTGGCACAGCGATTAGATTAGTGATCCTTTTGGGATAGGTAGAAAGAAACAAGTAGATATTTTTATATACAATCAAGGAACAAATGTCGAAACAAACAAGTAGTGAAAAGGACTTTGGTTTCTAGATTTCTCTTACTTTTCTATGATTCTCATTCAATGATTTACAAGTTACAAATGTTTTGTATATACGGTCGGTGTTGTTAGGATTGGACTGGTCATTGAATTAAAAATCAGTGACATAATTGAAAATAGAGGAAATAGTTGAGAACGGGTGAAAATTCATAATCTAAATCAAAACACCAGAAGGAATCAGTGGTAGAGTTGCTTTGATCACTGATTAAGTTGTTGCAATTGGGCAAGTATAGTACACTACTTTCTCATACACTTTAATGATACGATTATGTGGTGTTGGATTCAAGAATGTGATAGGAGAAACAAAGTAGGATAAAAAAGAAAAGAAAAAGGAAACATATGCAGTAGTGTAAGAATACAAAGGCAATCTCATTGTCATTTCCAGACAATATCAATGTCCATTGGACCACCTAAGGAAAAAGAAGTAGGCTTTGGATGGACTCCTATCCATTTATCTCTCTTTTGATCATTCTTTTCGATTCTTAGTTGGTTTAATAAGATCAAACGTTAGGTTCTCTAAATAAGAGTCCAAAATTATTTTTAACATTGTGAATAGTGCAGGAGGATTATCCTCATAATGGACCTTTATAATAGTATATTCGAATTAGTAGGTCAATAGGTCGAATACTATATTATACCAAAAAAAAAAATCATAATACCTCAAAATAATCGTCCAAATAAGTCCTTGAACTTTTTCTTTATTTCAATAAGCTCTTATATACCTTTACATCCAAATAATCCATTGTTATCCAGATAAACCCTTGAAACTTTATCACTTTATTTAATTAAGCCCATAAACCTTAAATATCATCGATTAAAGGTCAAGGGTTTATTTGGAAGTAAAAGATATATAAGGGCTTATTCGAAATAAAGTGAAAAAGTGCAAGGGCTTGTTTAGTATATTAGCCTTTAAAAGGAAAAAAAAAAACTCTTGTTTCACACCAAATGCTTGAAGTATAGACCATCCAGAAAAGCTTAGATTTTTATACTTTTTCTGAAAAATAAAAATAAATAGCAATGAAGGTTGACGGATTGACAATAAAAACAAATGGAGTAAGACCAAAATTTTACATTTCTTAGAACTTACCCTATGCCACTAAACAACTAAAAACATACATAATAGAACAGGGTAAAGACAATCAAATAGATGCATGCATCAGAGGTTAACCATGAAATGACAAATCTGGTTCTTGTGTGTTAGTGGGGACATGATTAGGTGTTTTGGCTAATCAAATTTATGAAATTTTAGAATCTTAAAGGCTCCTCTTTTCACTAATTATATTTACTAATGAGTAATCTAGACATCACCATTTTGATACAAAGTTTATCACACGTAAATCTCATGTGATTAATGGCGTGTATTAACAAGCAATATTGATAGTTTCTTTCATTCAACGGATTTCATTTTTATTTTACTTTCGGATCAAATATTAAAATTTTAAATTTTTATAAATATCCAGTTACACACTTTATCAACAGAGTTATTCGAACTTGGACAATCTGAGAAAATAACTTTTTTTTAATTAGAATCATTCTTTAAATTTAAAATTTGGAAATCTTTATATTCATATGTTTTGACTATATTATTAAAATGAAAATCTACATAAATGGTCGGTCCAATACGTATTAGAAAAACAGAAGTACTTTCTACAACATCCTCCTCATTATGACTTCACAAAATCCAGAAACAATACAGTGAAAAACTTTACCAACCCCAAATGGAAGGAGTTAAATTTGCAGTGAAGATATCAGATACAACCAAACTAAAGAGATCCAATTAAACATCTTGGACAGTGTAGGAAATGGAACTATATCCAAATCATATATTTATTCCAAATAATGACACACTTATTGTGTTGGTGGTTGATAATAAATTTAAATAGAATATTATTTGAAAATAAAACTTGATTAGTGGATAATTTATATATTTATTATTATATTTTAAAAATATTTAAATAATTGTATTAACTGAATTGAGATCCGGGCAAATTTGATAGAATAATTGGTATACATGGTTAGTAAAAAATCATTTAGGAATTTATTACATTTGTTATAGCTGATTAAATATTTATAATTTTAAAATTTACACCTTAAAGAATAACAACAAAAATATAAAAAATATATTTAAATTTTTACTCAGTATCCCAACTCCCCCCCCCCACCAAACTTTAGTACATAACTGTCCACTGAAATGAAATTTTGCAACACCTCATCTGAATCGTAGCCGTCTGATCTGATTCATCATAAGGTAATTAAGTGAAGCTTCATGATAAGGCCGTACTTTTCATCATCATCACCACCGTCATCAACAAAAAGCTAAAAGCAAGGCTGTTGTTGTTTCATGGAATGGACCACCCAATTTTAAAAAAGTCCATACAAAGGGGACACCCTACTCTACCCCTAGCCTGTGGTCCTAAAATAAGAAAAGAAAAACAAGCATTTTCACTAAAAATAAGTGAAATAAATCAAACTTTTGTTTTAGAAATTGTGTATTTATTAAAGGTTTTTTATTTAAATATCATTCTTTTGTATTTAGTACCCTACATAGGTAAAAAAAATATCTCTTTATGAAAAAAATCTTAAAATAAAAGATAATATAAGGAGGGGTAGGCTTAAAACTAAAAAGCATGGAGATTGCAGATGTAGATGACAGGTTGGAGTTGGAGAGCCTTTGTAAAGTATTATTAATTTTTTTAAGAGCTTTGTTGTTCTTTTAAGAACAACAACAAAAAACATGCATTGAAATAATTGAATTAACCCCCACCCCAAAAAGCCTTACTTTAGCTTTGACCCTCTCTCTCTCTCTCTCCCCTTTAATGGTAGACCCACATACTCTCTCTCTAAAGCTTTTTTTCCCTTCTGTATCATAAAGTCTTTCTCTTTCTGTTTCTTCCTTTCTTTACATTCTCTCCACATTTTATGGGAAGACAAGCCATCATTAATTTCATTTTTTAATCTCTATCAATAGTTGTTAGTGAGTTAATAAGAGAGAAACTTGGCTTATTTTTGCTCCACTGCTGAAGAGAAGGCCTTTCTGGTTTTTGAAACTGTATATCAGGTGTGTTTTTTCTTTGGTTTTTTTCTCTTAGCTTGTAGCTGATTTTGTGATACCCTTACTGAATCTTTAGTGGGATTTTGATCCAAAGAGGATTCTTTTGTTTCTTTGAGAGATCTGTTTGGAGATGATCTGATTCTGTATGCAATTCTTTCTGTTGTTAGCCACTTTTCCATTTTTTTTCCTATCTGATTTTCTGTTTATCATTGAATTCATATGGACTGGAGTTGTATTATACTTTGCTGTTGTAATGATTTGGTTTGGATATTTTATTAATGGATCACCTAAATTTTGATGTAATAAATCAAGCTACTGGTTCCGGTTTGTAGACTTTCATTTAGGTATACTATATGTATGTATATGTTTATATCTTACTATCTCACGATTGTGAAAACTTTTTTTGCAGCTGGTAATTTTCTGTTGTAAAATCAGTTTGTAGATGATGGAGTTTATGAGGGAAGTAACTAGAATCGCTGGTGGAGGTAACCGTGCGTTGATGATTGGGGGTAACTAATGAATTTGTATAGTTTAACCTGTGTAACAAGTTTGATTCCTTTCGATGGCCACGATATCTAGCAACAAACCTTGCCTGGAAAAGCCGAAGAAGCCATTCGGTAGCCAAACTGCCAAAGGGAACTCTTGTCGGCCTCCTCCGATACAGATCACGAAGACAAGCAATATGGAGCCAGTTACTCCAAGGATAGTAGAGTCCGTTGATCCCTTGACGAAGAAAGTAGATTCGAGCCTATCACTGAGTGACCTGAAAGAAGTTCCGAATCATGTTATTTCTGAAGTGAGTCAGAATGATGGATTACCAGGAGGTTCCGGTGAACAAGAAAAGAAAGCATCGGAACATGGAATTAATCCGGCTTCAGCTAAATCCAGTGATGGGGTTACCAGCCTTGTTGTGACTAGTGGAAATGCCAAAACCGGTGATCATCCCGATTGTATTGCGAGCGGTAAGAACAGTATTTGCAGAGGTAGCACGAGCAGCGATGTGAGCGATGAAAGTACGTGTAGTAGCTTAAGTAGTAGCATCAACAAACCTCATAAGGCAAACGATATTAGGTGGGAAGCCATACAGGCTGTCCGAGTAAAAGACGGTGTGTTGGGTCTGAACCATTTCAGATTACTGAGGAGATTAGGCTGTGGGGATATCGGAAGTGTTTATCTTTCAGAATTAAGTGGAACAAAGTGTTATTTCGCAATGAAGGTGATGGACAAAGCATCTTTAGCAAGTCGTAAGAAACTTCTTCGAGCTCAAACCGAGAGAGAAATACTACAATCCCTGGACCATCCCTTCCTTCCGACATTGTATACCCATTTCGAGACCGATAAATTTTCATGTTTAGTGATGGAGTTCTGCCCCGGGGGTGATTTGCATACTCTAAGACAGAGACAACCAGGGAAGCATTTTACTGAGCTAGCAGTGAAGTATGGGAATTTCTCCTACTTATATAAGATCTATTGCTTTAGATTTGGATCGAGTTTCTCTAATATTTGATTATTGTCGTTATTAGCATTACTTTTAGTATTTATCGTGTTGTTTCACATATGAACCAATATACTAATGAAAATAGGATTGAATCAGCTTGTGCCATATAGGTTCTGATAGTTATTGCTATGTTTTCCTTGGACATACAGGTTCTATGTAGCAGAGGTTCTCCTTGCTTTGGAATACCTCCACATGTTCGGTATCGTTTATCGTGATCTCAAGCCGGAAAATGTTCTTGTTCGAGAAGATGGACACATAATGCTTTCAGACTTTGATCTTTCACTCCGTTGCGCTGTCAGTCCGACACTGGTCAAGTCATCCACACCTGAGTCTGACTCCTTGCGAAAGAATCCGGTTTATTGTGTACAACCTGCTTGCATCCAGCCAGCATGTGTGGTTCCTACGACATGTTTTTCACCTCGCTTCTTTTCCTCAAAATCCAAATCCAAAAAAGAGTGCAAGCCGAAGAATGAAATGGGGAACCAAGTCAGTCCATTGCCGGAGCTCATTGCAGAGCCGACCAATGCTCGTTCCATGTCGTTCGTGGGAACCCATGAGTACTTGGCTCCTGAAATTATCAAAGGTGAGGGGCACGGAAGTGCTGTCGATTGGTGGACTTTTGGGATCTTCTTGTATGAGCTATTGTTCGGTAAAACCCCTTTCAAAGGATCCGGGAACCGAGCAACTCTCTTCAATGTCGTAGGGCAACCATTGAGATTTCCAGAATCACCTGTAGTAAGCTTTGCAGCGAGAGATTTGATAAGGGGTTTGCTGGTCAAAGAGCCACAGCATAGGTTGGCATATAAGCGAGGCGCAACCGAGATAAAACAACACCCCTTCTTCGAAGGCGTAAATTGGGCTTTAATCCGTTGTGCAAGTCCCCCGGAGATTCCAAGACCGGCCGAGATCGAACGGATTCCAGCCCCCACATCATCAGCCGGTGATAAACCTGCTGTTTCTGCTGCCAAGGATCAGAAAAACTATCTGGAATTCGATTTCTTTTAATTATTCTCAGAACCATTTTCCTGTTTGTTTCCCCCTTTTTTTTCCGATTCGAGATAAATGTAGAGTTTATCAAACGTTGATGATGTGCGAATTACGATTTCTCGAATGATAAATGATTATATTGCTTGATGTCTTACTTTTCAAATTTAGATTTGTTCAAGTGAAAAACATCATGTTTGTTCTGCAAAATTCTCTCCCCATGATAATTTCAAACATGAACATGTCGTTAAAATAATAATATGAATACGATACGAATATATAAATATAAACTCTTAGTTTCATAAATATAATCATACACAAAGCAAGCCCTGGTCTCTGCACTGTTCCATTTTTGGCATGCTACAGATAACACAGCTCCTTAACCAGCCCATTTTCAGACAAATCTCAAGGTTTGAAGCTTTTAGGACAGAATAAGTTATTCTTTTTTGTATAACTATTTGTATCTTATTTATTAATCGATTAATTCAGATTAAATATATTGACGGAATGAGTTTTTTTGACAGATTAATGTTGAGCTTAAAAGGCTTGGATTTATGTTAATGTTGGGACGTTATTCATTTTAGTTTAAATTTTATAGGAGTCGCAAGATTAGATGATGTAAAACGTTATAAAATTTAAAAAATAACAACAATAAATATTATCAAATATATTTTTGAAAAACCTAATAATAACCTGTAACAAATAATATCAAAATGACTAGTTGATTGTCTCTGTCTCAATAAAAACACTGCTTGAAACTAACTTACATTAGAAGCAAAGCAATGTCCTGTTCTCATTTACTTGGATCAATCTTTTATGAAAAATGAGTATTTTTTTTTCTTTAGTTGTATTTTGCTCATTTAAAAAATACAAAGATAAAAAGAGGTGACATAAGCTATAATAATATTTGAAAGGTTTAATTATGTTTTCGGTCCCTATACTCTTTGAATTTTTAAATTTTATCCCTCCACTTTGAATTTATCTATCTACTCTTCAAAAGACCTCCATCAAATTAGATCATTTGGTATCTTTTTAAAAAGTGTAAATAGAGACAACCATAAATTTATGTCAAATGTACGAGCTTTTAAGAAGTTATATTAAAAATTAAGTCTATTCATCCCTATATATATATAAAAAAAAAACAAACGGATCAACATTCATTTTGTTTCTATCCCTGGATTCATCATCGGAAAATCTTTCAAATCTATATTCAATATTTTTATTTTCTTAAATAGCTTTCTAAATGTGTAATAGTGGCGACTTGAGCTCCTTTTTAATCTAAGAAATAGAAAGACTTGGCTTTCAAATATACAAAGAGTATAGGGATTGGAAAGAAAATAAACCCATTTTAAAATATTATATTTAACACATGTAGATATCCTTTGAGCATACACTTCTCAAAATCATATCAAACAATTTAAACAAAAAAAATGTTCGTCATGGACACCTATTTGTAATATTATTTTTTTTGATCACACACCTATTTGTATTTAATATTCAATTTAAAATTAAAAGTAAAGCATGGTGCAAGGGGAATAAAATTAGGCTTGGTGACAGGGAAAGTGAATTAGAAAACCGTAGTGCAGGCCATTATGATCCCATCAAAAAAGTCAACAAAACACATGCAATTTAAAATTATTCCTCATCTTGTTCTTCAGATGACATATTAGGCACTATAAAATACGTTGGTTGTCGATGACAATAAAATAAAAATGACAAATATATTATCCTGTTATGTAAAATTATTATATTAAATTAATATTGATATAAAAAATTTAATTTATGTACATGATCATATAAAAATTACGTTATTAATATATATATATATATATATATATATATATATATATTCAAAAATAATTTTTAATCTACCATTGGGATAAACGACACCCAAGGTTACTTAGTTATAGGCATGATAAATATAACTTTTCAATTAAAATATTATTACAAACATATTATTTCATTACTAAAATTGAAATAAAATTATAATATAACTTTTAGTCTCTAAAATTTATACATTGTATTACTTTTATCCTAATTTAAAATAATTTAATAAATTTAACTGTTCATATTTTGAAAGTTTATTAATTTAATTTTTTTACGGTACTGTTAAAGTAAATGAGTCCATTGGATCAAAGCAATAGTTGAATAACTACATTATGCCACAAAGAAATTATTGTTAAGCTATTATTATACCAGGAAAGTAACAAGAAAGTAATATAATATTTCTTGAAGAAGAACAAGCAATTTAGGAGAAGAACAAAGACTAAAATGATGAAAATTTTAAATAAGAATGGTTAAATTTATCAAGTTGTTTTGAATTAGGACCAAATTGGTATCTTGTATAAGTTTTGAGGATTAAATTTTTTATTATACCAGACCACGTCACTATTTTTCTGCAATATTTAACCATTAGTGATATGTTTGTAACAATATTTTAATTGAATAATATGATTATAAATTTTAGAAGAAAAGTGAGTTTGTTTGTTACCAAACCCATAACTAAGAGACATGGAATATAATTTACCCAATTTGTAATGGAGCTAGACAGTTTTTATTTTCTTAGTCAACTGATTAAATTTCAATTTTAAATCCTTCTAAATATTAATTATTCAATTTAAGCTATTTAACCCTTTAAATAAACGGAAAAAATATATTTTTGACTCCTCATAAAAACTATCTGATTAATTTTGAACTCTTTAATAAGATATTGGTAAACTACCCCAATTGGCACTCAACCATGAGGTTGATTATATTTTGACCACTGAACAAAATATTATCAATTAAGTTAGTAAACTTTCAATTTAGTTTCAATCAAGCAAGTAACTGTTAATCATTGATGGAATTGCTGACGTGGTAGTTAAGCAAATTTATATGATAACACATTTGGTCCTCGTTACTTACACATTCTATAAATTTGGTCCTAATTAGATGATTAAATTTATTGCGCTATTTCTAATTAAGATCATGACAAATTTGATAGAATGTATAAGTAATAAGGACCAAATGTTTTGTTATAAAACTTTCCTAAACTATCACGTCAATAATTCCATTGTCAGTTAACAATTGCACTACAGCAAAAGTGGCTTGTTGCGGCGTTTTTTTTACTTATAGCGGCGTTTATAAGCGCCGCTAAAAACACCTACGGCGTTATGACAAACGCTGCTAAAAGCGCCACTGAAAATAGCGCCGCTAAAGTTCGCGGCGTTTTTCAACAAAAAACGCCGCAATATGTCACAACATATAGCGGTCGCCAAAGTTGTTGATATTTAGTGGCGTTTTCTTCACAAACGCTGCAATATGTCTTGAGATTTAGCGGTGTTTTTAGCAAAAACACCGCAATATGTGTTGAGATTTAGCGACGTTTTTAGCTAAAACACCACAATAGGCGTTGAGGTTTAGCGGTGTTTTTAATACAAACGCCGCTAAAAATTGGTATATAGTGGCGTTTTTATGATACAAGCGCCGCTAAATGTATGATATATTACGGCGTTTTTGTTACAAACGCCGCTAAATAACACAAAATTTAACAGTTCTAAAAATTATGCTTAATACCCCAAATCTATTTTTTCAACCTATTCCATTATCCAACAAACAAAACAGTAATAACATCAAACTCTATATCTATAACAAGCAATATCAAATCCAATATAATAAATAAAAGTTTTCATTAACGTAATATAAGTTAAGTTAAACACGGTTCAATAACATTAACATAATGCTCATAACATAAATGAGGCTACGATGGTGGATTCTGAGGTTACGCTTTTTGTATCATCAACATCATATCATTTAGTCGTTTTTCAAATTCTTCACATCTCTGCTGATATGTTGATTCTCTCTGTGCTGCCACTGCTTCTCTCTCTGCTTCCGCTGCTGCTCTCTCGGCTTCCCTTGCTTCATTTTTCGCTTTCAAGTTAGCCATTTGTTGATCCATCTCAGCCAACTTTTCTTTTAAACGACCAACTTCTAATTGGGAAGATCGAGACTGTGATGACATGTACTGTGATGAACTGGATCCAAAATATTTGGTGGGAGTAACGAATAATCCTTGACAGCGCACCCGGCCATATCTTTCAGGACCCAAAACGTCATTAATAGCTTGGTTTTCAATGTCATCATCATTAACAATACCTTGACTCGAAGCAGTAGCATGATACTCCTCCATTTTCTCCCTCAATTTTTCCTAATAATACAGTAAATAATTAATTAAAATAAAAATGTCATGATACAAATATAAATAAAGTCAGGTAAATTTAAAATATCTACCCAATAAACGTACCATAATTTCTGCAGCGTCAGCAGTCATAGGAGTGCCATTCTTCTTCGTATGTGTCATGTCGAAGAGTTGGATTCGACCAACTTTAGAACCGGATGTATTTTCCTACAATGTACCATAATGTCATTACTATGAGTTAGTATGTACATGAAATACAAAAAAACTATTTCAATAATCTATAATACCTCCTCATGAGCTATACAAGCAAAGCTCTTCGATCCAGCCGTGTGCGTAAACTCTTGTTGTTGCCTGCTAGCAACACCAACATGCTCTCGGTCCTACAATGTCAAACAACCACTTATAATGATGATTTAAATTTCATTACAAGTATTTATGAAAAATACATCATACCTGGCCTTTTTGAGAACTCCAAAATCTGACTGCATCTTCCCATTGGTACCTGAGCATTCCTGGTGGGACTGTTTGCAACTTCTCTTCAAGGCTGAGATCATTCATGAAGTATTTCTTCTTTAAGGAGCTCTTGCGGTCCCTCCATCTCTTCCCTAACGCTTGCTTCACATAATCGTCAGAGACCTCTAAAACAAATTTCTCCTATACAGCAAATAAGTGTGCACCGTAAGTATAAATTAGTATTGAATTTCTATAGTGTATCTATTATAATGACATTATTACCTTAACAAAATCCAACGCTTGATTTTTGTTACTATTAGGCATTTCGCGCCATGACTCATAATTGATCAGTAACAGATTCGCATTACGTCCAACTATGCCTAAGTAACCTGCTAGAAGACGTGATTCTGGGCCAATAGGTTGACCGTCATCGTTTCTTGAAACTTTGACACGATGCCCAGGAGGAAATTGGTATAATTCCTTCAAAGTTGTACGTCCTCAAGTCTTGCGTGTTCCAGCATTTTCAACTATTTAAG